GATGATATAGGATAGTTATTGATTAATTACGGTGAAAGTTAGATAAATGAAAAATTTTAACTGACCACATCAATAAATTAAGACAAGGAAACTGTCTTATGTTCAAGTATTTTTCAATTGTGATATAAAAGTAAGAGATGAAGAGAGCGTTACCAGTGACAGAGTAATTATATTCAGGTGAAGCAAAAAGGAAACAATCAGCTTCTAAAATCTTCTGACGAAAAGCTTCAGCCACAGGAGGATAATTTCCATAACCCCCAAGATCAGTGTTGAGCATTGGCAGAGATGATGTGTCAATGATCTTTGATCGACTCATTGGTGATCTCCTTTGCTTCATCAACCAAACAACATTTCATTCAATACCAAATCTCATTCAAAATAGGGTTAAAACTTAAAAGACATAAACCTCCCATGAGGTATGAGGTTTGATATAATAACAAAACATGAGGTTTCTAAACATTAATAAACCGTTAGTGAACTATTAAAAATTACACCATTATGAGTTAGTAATAATTATCAAATCGCCTTCCATACCTAAAATTTAATAGTAGGGGGATTTCTATTATTTTTAAACTTTAGGGGGTTTTTGTTATTTTATCATACCTCAAAAGAATTAATACGTTAACTCTCAAAATATAATATTGTGTAGGGAGAAAGTCAGAAAGAAAGAGAGTACCTGAACGAATGAGGCCAAGATTGTAGGAAGCTTTACGTAATGAACCACTAAGAGCTACAACTTTTATTACTGCTTTTGCTTCTGAAATTGAGCCCATCTCTTCTTATCAACTTTGAGTTTCTATGTATTTACTTGTTAGTTTTCTGGTTGGGTTATGGTTATTTATAGACATGGGAATGAAGAGAGAAGAGAGAAACTTAGCCGTATAAATTATTGACCAAATATTGAAAAAGTCACCAATAACGTTGTATCATTTTGGAGTAAGTCTAAGGCTTGGAGTCTTTGTGTTAGGAACTTGCATGATTATGATGAGAGTGTTGTGAGAAGATCCATGCGTTCAAAGAGAAGACCTGCATGGGCAAATGATTATAATTAGAGTATTATTAGTATTTTATTCAAGCTATTAGTACTTTATTCAATATAGAATAATGTTAGGAATTATAGTCAATAAAGAATTGATTCTATCATTATGCAGGAGTCCTTTTGTAGTAGGAAAGAGCTGAGGTATCAGGTTATATAAGCCTAAAAGAACTTTATGCTTAAGATAATAAAATTGATAAACTTCTTCTTCAACCTTCGTTCTTGGAGGCCCTGTTCCTCGTATAAACAGAATCTCTTTTCTCCCTATCGTTCAGAATATCTTCTTCCCTAACATTGGTGCTCTTGTTCCCTTCCATGGTAGACAGTTCCAAACATCGCTACCTAGATGACACTGTTAGCCAACTGTCGAGCCAGCAGTCTGCCTTGGTAGCCAAATTGGATTCGTTTGAAGACTTCTTGAAGACTGTTGCAGTGCAGTTATCGGTTCTCTCTTCACAGTTTGCGCAACATCAACAAACCCCACAAAAACATGCTGACACATCTATGGCTGCGGGCAATGGTTCCGTGGGTGAAGGAGATTACACGGGTACGGGTTCTCTGGGTGGCAGAGATTTTGCTGGTTCTACTCCATCGTTTAAGCCCTTCCGTTTGGAGGTACCTCGTTTTGATGGTGTTGATCCGAAGGGCTGGATCTTCAAAGCAGAGCACTTTTTTAATTATCATTCGACTCTGGAGGATCAGCGGCTCGCAATTTCCGGTGGCACGGGCTCAACTAGCAATTCCGGGGAGGCCTCCTCCTCCGCAGTCTCATCCACTATAAGCAAGAAAAATTTGGCCTTACAACGATGGCCCCGATGGAACCTCTCATCATAGTTGAAGCAAAGGCCACGGACGCAGCGCTCCTGCATTTGAGCTGTCGTGAGCTGTTTAACGGGAAGGGAACTTGGTGCTGGTGTAACGGGGGTGGCAGATCGCAGAACAGAAATTGGCGTAGGCAAAAGGGGAGGTAGAGTCGAGCTAGATCCTGAACCCGAGCGATTGGCCACCCAAGGACACGACACAGGCGGGTGAAGGTGTTGTTGCAATCATGGAATTTGTCTTCCTGTAGTTTTGCAAGGCCAAAGGCTTGTAGGAGTGTCGAAGGGCGAGATGAGCGGACCTCACGCTGTATTTTTGGTTTCAAGCTCAAATAAAACAACTCAAAAGACAGGTGTCATAGAGGCCGGAAACCTGAGTCAAAAGTTCCTCAAAGGAAGACTAATAATCTGTCACTGAACCACGCTGGGTGAGCTTGAATAATTGGCCTGTAAAATCGACACTTGGACTTGCATTATCTGAGAAAAATCTTTGATTATGTGGGCACAAAGACAACTTAAAACATAACTCTTTCTTTAATTTGATTTGGTAATGTCACATGTGAAAGAAGGCTGCTTTGGAGCTGCCGAATCTTCTCAGGAAGTTGAAATGTAAAACCTAAGTATTTATCCTTTAAGATTTTGTCTATGTGCATGTTTTTTTGATGAATAATTTGGGCTATGTTTGGCTTGTTATTTTTATTCATATTTTGGACCCGATTCTTCATATAGCGTTTGTTTTATTATTTACATAACCCTGTCCTGATAATTCAATCCTGACAACTATCCTGACAAATTTTTTTTTACCGTTACAGTTTGCTTTTTCACTTTTCTTCACTTTTCTTCACTGCATCTTCACTGCTTCACCATTTCACTTTCTCATTCTCAGTATACTACCAGCTTCGTGCTTCACTTCTCAGTTCGCATTACTGTTTTCAGTGCTTCACTTTCTCAGTATCCAATCACCACCATTTCAGTTTCTGATAATCCATTACCAGGTTCAGTGCTTCACTTCCCAGTTTGCATTACCACCATTTCACTTTCTAGTATCCAGTGGCAGCTTCAGTGCTTCACTTCTCAGTTCTCACCGTGAACCTACAAGTCCCTCTGTCACAAACCCACATCCTAACCCAACGTGAACCCACCGTCAACCCACCACCGTCAACCTGCAAATGCCTCCGTCACAAACCCACCGCGAACCCACTTCAGATCCCCAACCGTGAACCTGGAAATAGATCTGTCACAAACAAAACCACCGTGACAGATCTGTCACACACAAACCCACCATGACCCGATTTGTCACAAACAAACCCACCGTGACAGATCTGTCACACACAAACCCACCATGACCCGATTTGTCACACACGAACCCACCGTGACCCGATCCTTTGCAACCCAACCACGAACCCACCGTGACCCAATCCTTTGCAACCCAACCATCGTGACCCGATCTACCCACAACGAATCCACCGTGACCCGATCCTTTGCAACCCAACCACAGTGACCCGATCTATCCACAATGAACCCATCGTGACCCGATCCTTCGCAACCCAACCACCGTGACCCGATCTATCCAAAACGAACCCACCACGACTCGATCCTTCGCAAACCGACACCTCCATCTGGATCAAACCCACCTCAGATGTTGTTTTACGTTTTTTATTTGTTTGACAGGAATTGATTGTGAATGGGTTTTTGTTTGATTTGTGTAAAAAGGGATGATGTTTTGCGTTAATGGTGTGAATGAGTTTTTGTTTGATCTGTGTAGAAGAGGATGCTCTTTTGCGTTAATGGTGTGAATGGGTTTTTGTTTGATCTGTGTAAAAGAGAATGCTTTTTGCGTTAATGGATACAGAAAATGCTTTTTGTTTGATCTGTGTAGAAGAGGATGCTCTTTTGCGTTAATGGTGTGAATGGGTTTTTGTTTGATCTGTGTAAAAGAGAATGCTTTTTGCGTTAATGGATACAGAGAATGCTTTTTTTTTATCTGTGTGGAAGAGGATGATCTTTTGCATTAATGGGGTGAATGTGTTTTTGTTTGATCTGTGTAGAAGAGAATGCTTTTTGCGTTAATAGATTGTTGAATGGGTTTTTGTTTTGTTTTATTTGGATTTTGTTTTATTTGGTATTTGGAATGGGTTTTGTTTTTATTTGCCATTTGGCACACGCATGTGAATGGGTTTAATTTGGCATCTGGCATATGATTGTAATCAGTTGTTTAACTACAGACATGCTTCACTCTGCAATGTTATCGAGAGAACCTTTGGTATTTTGAAAAGACGGTTTCGTATTCTAAATGGAATGAACAATTACCCGTTGGACAAACAAGGGAAGATTGTTATGGCATGTTATGTACTTCATAATTTTATTAGAATGTACAATATGGACGACCATATCTTCGAACAAACCAATAATAGTATGGGTAATGAGCAAGTAAATTGTGATTATTAAAATGGGGCAGAATATGGCCGAAATGGAGAAGGACCGAGTCAACCGGACAACATGACGATTATACGGGATAACATAACGAATGCACTGTGGGTGGCACAGTGGACCATGTTTTAGTTGTTAATGGAGTATACGTGTAATAATGATTGTAAGGGTTGATAATTAGTACTTTTGTTATATATGTATTAATGTAGTGTTTTTAAACAGTTGGATTAATACTTGAAATTAATATGAGTTTTTGTTTTTTAATATATACGGGTGACAAAATTACCAATAAAATATTTAATATTATTAAAATGTAATTTGATAAGTTATATATATATAATAATACATTATTTTAACAAAATGCAACAAAATATTATATTAATAAATCATTTATAAAAAAAATATATTAATAAAATATTCAACACAAATATCAAGGTCAAAATACTCTACCAAACACATATCCTGCAAATCCTATTCTTGTAATGATAACCCTATCCAACTATCCAATACTATCCCCAAAATCATATCCAAAATAATAAACCAAAAACACCCTTGTTTATTCTTAGAAACAGCATCAAGAAAAAAAAAAAATTATCCAGTCAAACATCAAGCTATGTCATACATGACAAACAACTGGGATTTTATTTACACATTAAGAAACAGAAGAAATAGTGCACAGCAAGCTGGTAAAAAAAAAAAAAAAAAAAATTATCCAGTCAAACATCAAGCTATGTCATACATGACAAACAACTGGGATTTTATTTACACATTAAGAAACAGAAGAAATAGTGCACAGCAAGCTGGTACAAAATACAAATGTTTATGAAAAACTCGAACATCACACAGTTTGGCCAAAAGAATATTTAAATTAAGGTTTTGATGCTGCAATAAAATCCCGAATGAATCACATTTCAAAGTATACATGACTTGCACAGCTCCAATGCATCCTAAATATAGCCTTTACCTTGGAGGCGCAAGGTAAAGGCCTTTAAGGCAAGAAGGACTGCTTTTAATTGTTCCTTGGATTGTTCATCAATCAAGTTGCCATCACTATCGAATTTGGCAGGAGGCTGGAATGCATTCAAGAAGAATTCAGGTTTATTAATGAAATGAAGATCAAGATAAACTCCAATTTGGCGAAGGTGATATTGTGCTCGTCCCCCTCCAAAGCCTCCGCCAGCACTTACAATAGCAGCAGCTTTATCAGCCCAAACATTTGGTGGTCTGGATGCCCAATCAATTGCATTCTTCAGAGGACCTTGAGGAGATGAAAGCAACACTTACATAAAACTTTATTGTTTGTTGATACAAAATCCTAACAAGAAGACTAAAATATATCAAATTATAACTGTTTCTATGGTCAATTGTACTTTAAACTTCGAAATCAAAATTACAGTTACACATCCAACAAACCGTCTATGTCAGGGAAATATGCATGAACATTAATAGTTGAACAAATGATACTTAACTATTTGAAGTATGCATTTACAAGCTGTATACAGTCATTTTTTTCAACCCTAAAGTCAAAAAGTAACAGAAAATTGACTAAAGCATCATAATCTTTTCAAATTTCCCATGAAGCACTACCTAAAATTGAATATATCTCTAAGTACAACACTAGATGTGTAAGCCACCCATCTTAATAGAGTATCAAGTTCGAAAAATCAATAACAAGAGCACTGTAAATCATTTCTTGACGAAAGATTCACACATCCAGCTTTCTGTCTTACTAAACAATCTGAATTAAACATCAGTTCGTAGCACATTCCTCATAATTTTCAATATCATGAACAAAGCCAAAGAAAACAATATCTTGTTTCATCATTTCCAAATTTTAATATATATAACAAGTAGTTGCCAATGGCAGAAATAATATCAGACACCAATAGCTCAGCTTGATAATACATTTTCCCCATCTAATAATTCAATACCCTAGGAACAATCCCCCTTCCAGCTGTTGAACTTAAGTATGGTACACACAAGTTAATGGTAATGAACACACTAATTTGGGAAATGATATTTGAATCTAAGTAATTGATTAAGAATTCTAGTTATCAGAATTCACTGGTTTTAGTTATAAAAGCCAAGGTTTTTAAACTTTTAAGGAACATTGTTTTACTTATATTTCTACTAATAAAAGCTGATTCAATAATAGCTTTACTTACTAAAACTCTACTATTTATCCGAGGATAAGAATACACAATCACAACAAAATGCTTAAGTATTTTTGTACAAATATGGTTCATTGTTTTTAAAATACTTATCCATTGTGAATTAAGGTGTTGTATATAATATTTAAGTTCATACATCCTTAGATTACATAGATATAATCCAAGTCATGCAAATTAGTTTTATGAGTAATCATGTGGTGACTCACAAATTAAAGTTACTCAACTCATAAGCCAACTCATTGAGTTATAATCATTACCAAGACAACACGATTCCCAATTAAAGGTCAATGGTATCCTCGTGACTTTCCTCACAATTTACTATTACAGATTAAGAAATACAAGTCATCCATACATGTGAAGACCCAAAATATCACGCACAAGGCCCCATCAAATGATGACAAAGAACCCAACTCAGGATATGGTCCTAATGGCACAAATTTGATACCTTGCCCACTCACTTGCAACTTCCAACTAGAACCCACAATGTGTCTTTAATAAAAGAAGATATTATGCCCTCCACTCCTACTTTCTTGTTTAATCTTTGTTCCTCCTCGTGATACTTTAAAAGAATTAACTTCATTATAGGAAACTTCTATCCAACTTACTCTATTAGTTTCAAACTTCAGTAAAAAGAAAGCTCTCATAAATTTCTGAAAACAAACCAAAATCTCTCTTAATATTTGTCAGAATGCTCCCGTTTTAAGTTTTATAAATTTGCATAAAGCTGGAATCTCCTATAAGTCAAGAACTCTCTTAGGAATTTAAACAAACACCTCATAAACTAAATGAACTTTTCCTTCTACATTAAAAAAAAAAAAAAAAAAAAAAATTCCCATTTCACAGCAGACAAAATCATTGCAAAAAAAAAAAAAATAATAATAATATAGGCGAAGGGGTATCAAGAGAGTACCAGAAACAGAGTAATTATACTCAGGAGAAGCAAAGAGATAACAATCAGCCTGAAGAATCTTTTGACGAAACGCTTCAACAACGGGAGGATAAGTTCCATTAACTTCGAGATCAGTATTGAGCATTGGCAATGGCGCAATGTCGACGTACTCTATCTCCATGCCCTTCACGGAGTCCTTCACCAATTGCATAGCTTTAATTTAAGAAATCCATGATTTGTCAGAAGAAACTCAACATAACACAACCCAGAAAGCTTATAAAGGATACGGGAAAGAGAGAGAGAGAGAGAGGAGACCAGAGCGAATGAGGCCGCGGTTGAAGGAGGCTTTACGAAGAGACCCACAAAGAGCCGCCACTTTTATCACTGGTTGTTGTGCTGCTACCACTGCCTCCATTTCTTTCTCTGCTTCTCTACTTGTCTGTGCTCTGGATTTATGGATTATGGCTGTTCAAATTTGGTTAATGTTTCATGTCTATTTTACAGTTTTTGCCGGAAATGACAAGAAGGAAATTACATATTCACCCCTGTCCAAGACTTAAGAACACTATCGCCCTTTGTCTTTTGAAGAGGGTGACCTCAAACTTGAAAAACTAACACTTATCCCTGCCAACTCCAAAAATTTCCAGGTACACCCTTTGCCGTAAGCTTCTGTAGTTAGATTAGACGGAGGACTTGAGTTGACCCCTAAAATAAAATACCCTTGATTTTATTTAAAATTTTACATTTTCTTTTTAAAAAATAAAATGAAAAAAAAACAAAAACAAAAAAAAACTCTTAGAAAATATATTTTAAATATATAATTATTTATGAAAATGTATTTATATATATTTTTAAGTTTTTAGATAATTTTTTAACTGTTTTAATTTTCTTTTAAATGTTAAATTGTTTTATTATTATGATTTATTTTAATATATAGAATTTAAAAGTAACATTTTTTCCATTATTTTTGTATATTTTAGTTTATATAGATTAAAAGTTAAAAAGAAATAAAAATTTCGGTTTTACCACTCTCTTTATGCATTTTAACGGCTGAAAATTAATTGTAATTTGTAAGGGATGTAAGTGACTATTTCTAAAGTTGATGGAGGTAACTGGATTTTCAAATTGTAAAGGAAATAACCCTTTTGAAAATTAACAATGTCAACTTCTTCCCGGTTATCTTTAGTGTCTAATTTTGAAAAAAAAGTAATAACACACTTACAAAGTTGACTAGACCCTAACTCTAATGATTATTGATGTGTCATTAGCATATTAATTATAACAAGAACAATATTATTGCACATAATCCTATAATTCTTTGTAGTGGTGACTCATCAACAATTACCATAGTTGAAATTCCAAATTTTTATATATAACATTATTGTTTTGAAAATTGGTGGTGATGTTAATTTCTTAAACTAGTGATGGAATTGTCTTAAAATTTTGGAGTTTGATGTTGGACTTTAATTCTTACAATGATTTATGTCTAGTCAAAGTTGTGGCAAAACCCTTTTTTTTTTTTTTTTTTGGTAACATTAAGGTTTTACTTTAAAGTTGGGAGTGACTTGATATTTTCCAAATTTAAGGGGTTACATTTTACGTCATAGAAACGGGATGATAATGTAATTTCTCACTAGTGACAATATTAGAAAAGATGACGCTCGATGCGCTGAACGGTTCTAGAGAAAGGTGGGAGTGGGACAGCGCATTTTGAAAGGGTAGATAACGAGACTTTCCCTGAGTTTTCTGAAACTNATGGGCCGGGGCGGAACCTATCCCAGCCCCGGCCCGTCCTCGAATTTCGGGGCCAATCTTGGGCTCGATCCCGACCCAAAAGCCCGAACGATTGGGTGAAAATCCGCCGTGTTCGGGTCGGATCAGGGTTGGTCCCCGTGGGGCTGGGCTTTGTGCCCATCCCTAGGCTTGGAGTCTTTGTGTTAGGAACTTGCATGATTATGATGAGAGTATTGTGAAAAGGTCCATGCGTTCAAAGAGAAGACCTGCATGGGCAACTGATTATAATTAGAGTATTATTAGTATTTTATTCAGCTATTAGTATTTTATTCAATATGGAAGAATTTTAGGAATTGTAGTCAATAAAGAATTGGATTCTATCATTATGCAGGAGTCCTTTTGTAGTAGGAAAGAGTTAAGGTGTCAGGCTATATAAGCCTAAAAGAACTTTATGCTTAAGATAATAAAATTGATAAACTTCTTCTTCAACCTTCGTTCTTGGAGGCCCTATTCCTCGTATAAATAGAATCTCTTTTCTCCATATCGTTCAGAATATCTTCTTCCCTAACATTGGTGCTCTCGTTCCCTTCCATGGCCGACAGTTCCAAACTTCGCTCCCTAGATGACACTGTTAGCCAACTTTCGAGTTAGCAGTCTACCTTGGTAGCCAAATTGGATTCGTTTGAAGACTTCTTGAAGACTGTTGCGGTGCAATTATCAATTCTCTCTTCATAGTTTGCGCAACATCAACAAACCCTATAGAAACATGCTGATACATCTATGGCTGCGGCCAATGGTTCCGTGGGCGATGGAGATTACACGGGTACGGGTTCTCTGGGTAGCGGAGATTTTGCTGGTTCTACTCCTTCGTTTAAGCCCTTTCGTTTGGAGGTACCTCGTTTTGATGGTGTTAATCCGAAGGGCTAGATCTTCAAAGCAGAGTGCTTTTCTTAATTATCATTCGACTCTAGAGGATCAGCGGCTTGCAATTTCCAGCGGCACGGGCTCAACTGGCAATTCCGGGGAGGCCTCCTCCTCCGCAGTCTCATCCTTATAAGCAAGAAAAATTTGGCCTTACAACGATGGCCCCGATGGAACCTCTCATCATAGTTGAAGCAAAGGCCACGGTCGGGACGCTCCTGCATTTGAGCTGTCGTGAGCTGTTTTAACGGGAAGGAACTTGGTGCTGGTGTAACGGGGGTGGGCGATCGCAGAACAGAAATTGGCGTAGGCAAAAGGGGAGGTAGAGTCGAGCTAGATCCTGAACCCGAGCGATTGGCCACCCAAGGACACGACACAGGCGGGTGAAGGTGTTGTGCAATCATGGAATTTGTCTTCCTGTAGTTTTGCAAGGCCAAAGGCTTGTAGGAGTGGCGAAGGGCGAGATGAGCGGACTCCACGCTGTATTTTTGGTTTCAAGCCAAATAAAACAACTCAAAAGACAGGTGTCATAGAGGCCGGAAACCTGAGTCAAAAGTTCCTCAAAGAGGACTAATAATCTGTACTGAACCACGCTGGGTGAGCTTGAATAATTGGCCTGTAAAATCGACACTTGGACTTGCATTATCTGAGAAAAATCTTTGATTATGTGGGCACAAAGACAACTTAAAACATAACTCTTTCTTTAATTTGATTTGGTAATGTCACATGTGAAAGAAGGCTGCTTTGGAGCTGCCGAATCTTCTCAGGAAGTTGAAATGAAAACCTAAGTATTATCCTTTAAGATTTTGTCTATGTGCATGTTTTTTTGATGAATAATTTGGGCTATGTTTGGCTTGTTATTTTATTCATATTTTGGACCCGATTCTTCATATAGCGTTTGTTTTATTATTTACATAACCCTGTCCTGATAATTCAATCCGACAACTATCCTGACAAATTTTTTTTACCGTTACAGTTTGCTTTTTCACTTTTTCACTTTTCTTCACTGCATCTTCACGCTTCACCATTTCACTTTCTCATTCTCAGTATACTACCAGCTTCGTGCTTCACTTCTCAGTTCGCATTACTGTTTTCAGTGCTTCACTTTCAGGATCCAATCACCACCATTTCAGTTTTTTTGATAATCCATTACCAGGTTCAGTGCTTCACTTCCCAGTTTGCCTTACCACCATTTCACTTTCTAGTATCCAGTGGCAGCTTCAGTGCTCACTTCTCAGTTCTCACCGTGAACCTACAAGTCCTCTGTCACAAACCCCATCTAACCCAACGTGAACCCACCGTCAACCCACCACCGTCAACCTGCAATGCCTCGTCACAAACCCACCGCGAACCCACTTCAGATCCCAACCGTGAACCTGGAAATAGATCTGTCACAAACAAAACCACCGTGACAGATCTGTCACACACAACCCACCATGACCCGATTTGTCAAACAAACCCACCGTGACAGATCTGTCACACACAAACCCACCATGACCCGATTTGTACACACGAACCCACCGTGACCCGATCCTTTGCAACCCAACCACGAACCCACCGTGACCAATCCTTTGCAACCCAACCATCGTGACCCGATCTACCCACAACGAATCCACCGTGACCGATTTGTCACACACGAACCCACCGTGACCCGATCCTTTGCAACCCAACACGCACACACCGTGACACATCCTTTGCAACCCAACCATCGTGACCCGATCTACCCACAACGAATCCACCGTGAACCGATCCTTTGCAAACAACCACAGTGACCCGATCTATCCACAATGAACCCATCGTGACGATCTTCGCAACCCCACCACCGTGACCCGATCTATCCAAACGAACCCACCACGACTCGATCCTCGCAAACCGACACCTCCCTCTGGATCAAACCCACCTCAGATGTTGTTTACGTTTTTTATTTGTTGACAGGAATTGATTGTGAATGGTTTTTGTTTGATTGTGTGAAAAAGGGATGATGTTGTGTAATGGTGTGAATGAGTTTTTGTTTGATCTGTGTAGAAGAGGAGTCTTTTGCGTTAATGGTGTGAATGGGTTTGTTTGATCTGTGTAAAGAGAAGCTTTTGCGTTAATGGATACAGAGAATGCTTTTTTTTTATCTGTGTGGAAGAGGATGATCTTTGCATTAAGGGGTGAATGTGTTTTTTGTTGATCTGTGTAGAAGAGAATGCTTTTTGGTTAATAGATTGTTGAATGGTTTTGTTTTGTTTTATTTGGATTTTGTTTTATTGGTATTTGGAATGGGTTTTGTTTTTATTGCCATTTGGCACACGCATGTGAATGGGTTTAATTTGGCATCTGGCATATGATTGAATCAGTTGTTTAACTAAGACATGCTTCACTCTGCAATGTTATCGAGAGAACCTTTGGTATTTTGAAAAGACGGTTTCGTATTCTAAATGGAATGAACAATTACCCGTTGGACAAACAAGGGAAGATTGTTATGGCATGTTATGTACTTCATAATTTTATTAGAATGTACAATATGGACGACCATATCTTGAACAAACCAATAATGTATGGGTAATGAGCAAGTATTGTGATTATTAAAATGGGGCAGAATATGGCCGAAATGGAGAAGGACCGAGTCAACGACAACATGACGATTATACGGGATAACATAACGAATGCACTGTGGGTGGCACAGTGGACCATGTTAGTTGTTAATGGAGTATACGTGTAATAATGATTGTAAGGGTTGATAATTAGTACTTTTGTATATATGTATTAATGTAGTGTTTAAAACGTTGGATTAATAATGAAATTATATGAGTTTTTGTTTAATATATACGGGTGACAAAATTACCAATAAAAATAATATTATTAAAATGTAATTTGATAAGTATATATATATAATAATACATTATTTTCAAATGCAACAAAATATTATATTAAT